CACACACACACACACACACACACACACACACACTAATCCAACCACTTCAAAACTACCCACCTATAACCACATGAATCCTTGGAGGACATCTACATACAAATCATAACATTCCAAACCTGGCTCACAAGAGAATTCTGCACATTCCTTTATGCAAAAGGCATTTAGTCCATCTATAAGAGTTTCCAAAGTTCTAAAAGTTTCAGCATTGAAGAAAAGTCCAACTGCAAAATCTGGTCTGTGATTTAAGGCAAACACCTAGCTCTGAGCCTTGTACAAGTAAAAAGGAAATTAAATACTTCCAACAAATAATGGCACAAAGTAAACATTTCCACTCCATAGGCTACACATAGGAGATAGAAAGGAATGAAACAAAAGCAAGTACAAAATTCAGTAAGGCAAACATTAAGTCCTGAAGTGCCGTGTCCAGCACCTGGAGTAGTATGTGGCTAGTTGTAAACTCCAAAGGGCTTGGGTGGCTCTGCTCCTATGGTATAGCCAGTGCTTTAGTTTCCATGCCTTCTATCTTGGGTGCGCTTTGTTCAATACTTGCAGATTTCTTCAGATGATCCACGTTGCTGATAGCTCCAAACTTCCAGTGTCTCCACTGCTCCTTTAACTTCACATTCACAGCTTGACAGACTCCCCCCTCAAGCCTCAAGAGCACACTGTCTGGCTTCCCAGGGCTATGAAACATGGTTGAAGCTTTCCTGATCCTGTGATTCTTGCATTCTGCATGCATCTAAAGCCAAAACCACGTGGGTGATCCCAAAGTCTGCTGCCAGCTGGAACAGTAGTCAGACTTCCTTCTGTCTTGGTTTTAAGGGTCAAGGGACTGGATTGCTTGGTGCTATGAACTCAGTTTTGAGGAACAAATTCCCCATATTGATGCCATTTTGGAACATCTTGGTCTGTGGTTCTCTTCTCAAAGCAAAGTCTTCCACACTTGCAAGTTTGAAGTTGCACAGGAAGGAATCCTGCTGGTTCTTGTGATGTCCTTAGGCCACCTTTTCTATTGTCCTCTTCCTTTTCAGCAACCAAGTTCTTTTCTGTTCCTTCTTTGCTACCAGAGCTTCCTCTCTGTCCATACTCAAAACATTCTAAATCATTCTGAGGAGATCTTTACTCATAGATTGGGCTAAAAGTTCTCAAATGTACCCATTTCACTGCCACAATAGGCTAATCAGCCTATACTCTACCAGAATAATTAGTCCAGTACCCTTAATCTCATTCTCAGGAAATGTCTTTAGACAGGAGAAAAATACACACAAATTTCCTGCCAAAGCATAATACACATTGTCCGGATTCCAACCAGCAGTGCAGTCTTCATTCTTAACAGAAACCTCCTGAGGCTGATCTTTACCATCTGCCCTTCTATCAGCATTGTGATGTTCTGAGCACTGACTAGATTCCCCCTTTCAAGTTTACTTTACGGTGTACCAGGTTTTCTTCTTCAACCATCATCTCTAAAACTTTTCAAATTCTTTCCACAGGCAAGTTCCAAAGGCTTCTGAAACACGTAGCCAGGTAGAGTCAAGCAATGACCCCATTTGTCTGGTACCAAAATGTGTGTTACATTTTTCATTACTGTGACAGAACACTCAACACCCACAAGTTAAATGAGGAAAGATTTATTACAGCTCACAGGCTGTATAGGTTTCAGTTCAAGTTGGCTGATTCCAAGGCAGAGCAACATGACAGAGGAGTCCAGGGCAGGTCATGTAGGAGGCAGCACCAAGGCTGCCTGCTTTCTTTCTATCATTTTATATTCCATCCAGGCTACAAGCCTATTGACTGGTGACACCACAGCCAGTGTGTGGCTTTCATTATCCACACATTTAATCAAAGTATAGCACCCTTCATTCACACACACACACACACACACACACACACACACACACAAAATTAATCCAGCCACTTTCAAAATTCTACACCTATGAACACATGAGGCTTTGGGTGGACATCTAATATTAGCTATTACACATAAGTTGAACCATTCTGTGGTCCTTGGGATGAAATTTTTTTGGTCATAATATGTTTTTAATGATATATAACATTCTCTTTGTGAGCATTTCAGTGTCTATGTTTACTGAAGAGATTGACCTGTAGTTTTCTTTTTTAATGGCATCATTGTCTGGTTTTAGAATCAGGAAAAATTCTGGCTTCTAGGTATAAACTTGGAAGTATTCATTCACTTTCAAATTAACTAAAATGTCCTAGGATCATTGACACTGTATCTTCACTTAGCTTCTTTCAGAACTCAGGACTGAATCCACTGCATCTTAACTTTTGTTAGTAGGTAGGTTTTTAATTACTGCCTCAGGTTTGCTGCCTAGTATTGTATTTATGATGATATTTTTCTGCTATTTGTAGTTCATGTGGGATGCAGAGGATGAAGAGGAAAAGATGAACCTTTAGTGAAAATAGAGACATAAGAGAATTGGCAGTAAGTTAAAAATGTGGGTATAGACCCTGTTGGAATAATTTTTATAGCTGAATTAGAAGGATAGATTATTTAATAGAGTTTTAGAGAGCCATTGTGAAGGCAAGAGAAGATATACAAGGTGAGTTGAAATTTATTTAGTGATTATGGGTGGTTGTGAGATTGTTGCAACCTTTTTATATATTTGCACTTATGTTTTCATTCTCTAAGACCAATTTTGTTAAGGACTGCCCAGATAGCCCCTTCAATGATACTGTTAAGCACTAGTCAATTCTTATTTTCTAATGCACATATGCAGAATACGTGTATATATGTATATATATTCCATATTTTATATTATCACATTCCATATTATAAGTGGAGAGGAGGACAGGGAAGGTAAGGTGAGAGTAAGAGGGTGAGAGTAAGAGGATGAGAAATGAAACGGAATAAAAAAGAAAGAAACTCAAAAGTTAAAAAAAGTAAAGGTAATCAAAAATAAAATGTAAAGACTAAAAAGAGAGGACTACAAAGGGGTAAACATTAAACAATAAAGTAAAATTTAGAAATGCCAATACAGAAACAAGACCCAGAATAAAAGAAAAATAAACATGAGATAACTGAGCATAAACCAGTAACATCAATAAAAATAAAACCCTTTAAAAATGTTCCAGCATTATCTCAGAGTGTCTACACAGGTTCCTTTCCAATGAAGTCAGAGTCTGATTATAAGCAGCTAAGGTGTTTCTCTCTGTGGAACACTCAATAACTTGCCAGAGGCAGGAAGGGTTGTCCCTCCATCAGGAACCA